GAAAAGAGACCAATTCCAATCATTAATAAGCAGTTACTTTTAAAAGGCTTTAAAACTGTCTCTTACTTTCAACAACAACTTAATGTTACTTTCTCATGTAAGGTCAAACACATTAAAGTTTGTGATTCTGAATGACGAAGTATAACTCATTTCCAGTTTCAATGTTGAAAGATGTCTTTATCTTAAGACATTAATTCCTAATACCTGTACATTGGGATGCAGCTATCTATGCCTATAAATGTTAATGAAATTAGGTCCCAAGTGATTAATACATTTGTACATTTTTTGAAATGTACAAATCAATTTTTTAAATTTATTGAAAAGGTCAGTCTTTTTGCGTAACAACGGAAAAGGAGGTGTGTGCAAAACTCTATGTACTAGTCAGGAGAATCCTTGGCCATTCCAAAGTAATTCGTCATTTCCAGAAATAAATTTCACAGCCAGAACACATCTGGAACAGTACTTTCTGTTCCAGAAAATGTAGTTCCAGAAAATGACAAACTGTCTTAGAAGAACAGGGTCTGCATATTCCAGGAGGAAAAAAATGGAACTTCTGAGGAACATCAGAACATTCTCTGACTAGAACAAAGTTTTGTACATGGGGAATTTTTGACAGAAAGCCTGTGAGAGTACTAGAGCAAGTAATAATTGTGCAACAGGGTTCAGACAATGCCCAGTGATGTTATTATACAATACCATATTTAGTTAAATGCAATCTATGAAACTATGTGAGAGATACTATTCAAGACATTTTAAGAGGCTACCTGGACAGACATTTCCATGCAATGTGGAATATTCTCTTAATAGAAATGTTTGATAAAGCACTGGATTTTTAAGAACCACAAAGTACTATTTTGTTTACCGCTGACTGGGACCATCATCAGAAGCATGAAGGGTGAGATGGAATGACTATAATTGAAGCCTCATAATTTTTATGTACATCATGATACATGCAGAAAAGCGGCCGCGTTTCGATTTCATAATAACATCTACAGATGACACGTCTTCAGCCCAGTGCATGCCTTTGGTTATCACCATATAGACTTCAATTATATATCTCAGGTGGTATGAATTTGTAAAGTTTTAAATATATTCAGATGAAAATATTAGCCAGAAAATATTTAGTCTCAAAAGAAAGCATATTGACTGTGAACAGTTAGCAGACCTCATGTGTACGCCAAGGGTGAAATTCAGCAGATTCTATCTGGCTTGGGCGAACTGATAGCGGCGGCTATGGGAGGATCCGCCCACCCGCACGGATGTCATGACATCCCTTTTTTGCAATGATTTTCAGCCTCTGTGCATGCGCAGAAGGCTTTGTGCATGGGCAGATGATGGTGTGTGTGGGGCACACGCATATTTGCAAATCGGTAGGGAAGCTAAGTGAATTTCACTCCTGACACATATGTACTACATACACGCATTTCAATGAAGAATTTGTGAAGTTCAATGGACTTAATCTAACTTCAGATTTTTAGGGCACATAATCAATGAATAAAATGAATTGTTCTCCAGAATATTATATCAATTTCCTTAACTTTCCCAAGTTTGATTTTCTTTAGCTGTATTGAGGCAGCTAAAGTTATTGTGGAATTATCTATTTTAGCTTTTTCTATTTTAAAATCCATCTCTTTATTCTTTCAAAGCCTGTCTATACTTCTTTTGGTGAATATAATTGTATTCAACCACGTAACTATTACACCTCATTCCAGTGTGCCTCTAATAAGCAATCAATTCTACATTTATGGATTATATAATTATTTACCCTTCATTTCACAGTGAACTCTTATAATTCAGCATTTGTCAAATATAAAGCCTGATTCTTAATGTACTTGCACTATTAACATGGTAATACTGAAAGCTAAATGAGTCAGGAAAATAGCATTGCCCAAATGGGTTCCTATAAGGCCAAAAGTGAAGCTGGTTATAGCATGGCACAGATGGGTCGGATGGAAAGTGCCAAATACTTTGTTCATCAGCATTTTTATTTTCAGGATGTTGTTGTTGTTATGACATGCCTCTATCTTTTAATTGTAGAAAGAGGCAGACAGGCAGGCAGGATATAGCAGCCTACTGCTATTTATTTGTACTTATTTTATTTAATTTATTTATGTCTTCAGGGTCAATCTGATCTCAAGGAAGTGAAGTTCCATAGGGCAGATAAAATGAGAGAAAACTCTTTCATCATAGATCCTGCAATACAACATTCCTTATGAGACCCATAACACATTTCTTATACCAGATTTCATGGAATGGGCAGAAATTTCCAGAAATAACCCAGCCCTATGCCATGAAAGGTTTTATAGGTGACCATCAGGACTCTAAATCTCACTGATGGTCACCTATAAAGCCTTTCATGGCATAGTCAATAAAGCAGTCAGCAAAGCTCAAAGAGTAGAGGTATAGGTGTACATGAAGGATACTCATAATTGCTCATGCCAGAGCATTTTAAAGCAGCTGCAACTTTTGGATAGTCTTCAAGAGCAGGCCAAAATACAGACATTGCAGTAATCTACTCAGGAAGTGACTAAGGCATAAATGATTATGAGAAGAACCTCCCAATAAAGAAAAGAGTGTAACAAGCACACAATACATAGCTGTGGAAAAGCCCTCTCAGTCATGGCCGCCATCTATTCTTTGAACAGGAGCTGTACGTCCAGGATTCCCAAAATACCCAGTGATTTTGTTTAGGGCAATGTCATACCATCCAAAACAACCTTGAGATTAGTTTTGCTAGGGATGAGCTTGAGAATGAAATGCTCCATTCAAAACTAGGCAACCTTCAGAAACTGAAGTAGTTGAGTTGCTTTCTTGACTTTTGTTGTGCAACAGATCAGAAGCTTCCAAAACTCCCAAGTACTTGTACCTTTCTTCTGGTATTACTGCTTTTATCAATTCTTCATTATTAAGTTCAAATTCATCATCTTCAACCATTTTTCCTGCCTTATCAGCAATTGTTTCACATTTGTGAATGCAAAATTGAATTCCAATGTATTATTATCATATCTGTGGAGATTGTCTCAGTTTCTGAAAAAAGTCATTGATATTGCAATACCAGGTGATACACGAATTAAAGAGAAACAGCTAGAAAAAATAACGAAATATCATGATTTACAAATTGAAGTTGATCAATTGTAGAGGAAGAAATCAATGGTTGTACCAATAGTAATAGAAGCCCTCAGAGCAATACCCAGAGGGCTGTCTTGATATATGGAATCCTGAATTTATTAGACCTGAATATTCTGATATTGCAAAAATCCACTCTACTCGGAACTGCCCAAATATTTAGATATTACTTTAACAGTTCTTAGGTCTTTGGTTAGAACCTGAACCTTTACATTTTTGCCAGTGCCAGACTTTGAATCAAATTGAAGGTTAAACACCACCACCACCACCACCACCACCACCAACAACAACAACGGCTATAAACTTTTTATAAATTGCATCAAACTCCACCACCCCCAGGGAAACAAGCTGAAATTCTCTAGGCCCATAACTACACTCCCAGCGCAGCCATTGAGTCCAACTGATCATAGAATCAAGCAACAATCCTAAAATGATTCACAGAGCCCAAGTTAACAAACAAGGTCCTGTATCCAGTAATCTGTGGAATAGTATCTTTGAATATCAGTATGTATGAATTCAGCAGCATGCAACTGCTAGTTATCAGATGAACACTGAATCTTTTGTCCAGAAAGCAAAAATAGGCACGCTACTTCATTATGCTTAGCCTATCATAATTAAATGATAATTCTAATTACACATGCCTTTAAATTGGGAGAAAGAAGAGAGGAAAGGAAGAAAATAAGCTTTTAATTTTCTTTCCTTCCTTCCTCCCTCCCTCCCTTCCTTCTGTAAATTCTGGAAATTGGTGTCATAAATCTGAAATAAAGCTCTAGTTTTCTTTCAGGTCTATAGCTGAAATAACCATATCTGGATTTATTCTTATTCCATGCAAAAATAACTCTTGTTTAGATTAATTAGTCAAATTTTGTTCTTTATTATGTATCTATGTGATGGTATTTTATGAAAAAAGGGCTATGTTTCCTTTCATGCTTCACAAAGTTTCTTTTTTCCCTCCTCCATAATGCAAGCTTACAAATTATGGTAACTGGACCATTTGTGCAAGTTTAGGATTGTCATTGCATCTATCTATCTATCTATCTATCTATCTATCTATCTATCTATCTATCATCTCTCTTCTCTTTCTCTCGATCCACCCACCCACCAACCTACCCACCTACCATCTCTCTAATCTACCGCCCGACTGACTGACTGACCACCCATCTCATTCACAGTGACTCTAAGTGGCATACAGTTAAAACTTTTATGTCAACTGGCATAATTGTAATTTAAAAAAAAAGATTTTAAACCCTCAAAAATTGTAACTATGCACACATATTGAAAATGAAAAGAAATTAAGGCTTCACCGATACTTTCTATTTCTCTAAGATGGAGGATTTATGTGGTGTTTACTCAGATTATTATTTTTGAAGTGTATAAGAGCTTATTTTAGCCTCATTTGTAAGAACTATAACCTCAGACATATAAATATAATGTACACCAGTTTTGTTGCACCAACAAGTCCAAAACTTTAATTATATCAATGCCAAAAATAATCAATTTCATTCTGAACAGATTTTAATTCTAATGGCTATTTTAAATAAATCTGGAAGAATATGAAACAATATACATATAATGTAGAAATAGTACTATAGCTATTTTGATTTACTAAACCATTGGCTATTTTGCAAAAAAACAAGGCCTTCTATTGGAAGTTATTTCACAGCAATTTTCTCTTTCTGATAAGGAATATACATTGCATTATTTCATCTACTGAAATTAGGTGTCTACACATAAAAACATGTTGGCAACAATACCACAACTGAAACATTTTACTTCTGTTAAAACGTGCTATTCCTCAGGCCTGCTCATCTAATAACTTTTACATAGGAGGCAAATGGCACAAAATGACTCAGATATGTTACATGTAAACTTACCTGCCTTCAGAATGGCAGCATTCTTCATAAAAAGAAAAATATGGGTTAATCTTATACATGAAGAGTGGGCTTATATTTCAAGCATTGGCCTTAAAAAGCCAAAAAATGCCAACCATGTTCGAAAAAAAAAAAAAAGATCAGCATAAAACATACATAAGAACATTTGGGAGAAATGTTGAAATTTTGAATTCTGTATTTGATTCTTCCACAATAAATTCTAACAACTCTTGTTCTTTCTCTAGAATAATTTTGCGATAGGAAGTGAAGATATGATTAGGTAGATAAAAACATAACATTGTTAGTTGGTCACTATCATACATTCAGGCATAAATATATACAGAGGTCTAATCTAATAGATCTAATTTTATTTTTGTATAGAAAAACCACAAGTGACCTGTTATTCCTTCTAAAACAATAAATAATCATCCTTTAAATGAAGTATGTGTAGAAAGGAAAACATATTGATTTTATTTATTTAAAAAGTGGGAACATACTAAGTTCTAATAATAGGAAAGACAGTAAGATGCAAATAGTGATATTACAAATTCTTTGTAAACAAGAATATCCAATTATAATACTATGAATGACATGCTTTACAGTGTATAGGTATGATTAAAAATATTCCCAATCACATTATATTACTGGGAAAGGTCCCAGAATTTTTTCTACATTCTTCACCATATGCCTTAAATGATTTGGCAGGCTATTATTTTAACATTTCATTACAATTTAATTCTATCCTTTTCCTTTATATTTATTTGAATATAGATGCATTATAGCATCTGATCAAACAGACCCTAATATCCAAAAATAGTCTTTCAATGCTTCAAATGCAAAAAGTCTTCTAGCATTTCTGCAATGGAATGATGATACTGAAACGTTTTTCCCCTTTCTATTTCTCTGAATCAAAGCCACAGAATTATGTTTTGTGGTAAGCAGCTTTTTGTCTTTTAAAAAACTTGAAACCAAGGCATTACTGTCATCAACCAACATGCAATCAAAACCCCCTATCTTTTTATGTTAATGTTGTAGTGACCATATGGACTCTTTTGATCCCCTTCCTCCAGGACAAATATGAATTTGTGTTAATACAAAAAAGCTATAAACAAACAAACAAACAAAAAATCATAGAATCAATGGATCCTTATTTGTAGGCCATGAAGGCCATTTCTGATCCTTTTGTCAGAATTCCCTGCCAAAATATTACATTTTTTTCTCCTGAAATCAATGTATTCTGATAAACTCAGCAGACCTATTTCAGTTTTTTAAAAATCCAATAAAATCCCCTTCAAATTTGGAAGTAACTATGCTTGGAACAAGCTACATTTATGCAGCTTCAGAATTAGAGACCTTAGCAAAATTATTTATATTCCTATCCCATTTGAAATTTATTGCAACAAGTTTTTTAACAAGCAGACATTATAAAAACGTACATATATTTTAATTTATACACAGAACAGCTTACCTATTAATGTAACTGAGAGCAACGTATGTGGGTTGTTGTAATTCTTGTTTTTCTAACACACGTGGGTCTGTATCTGGAATTCAAAGTATACAAACAGATTTTGTTGACTTACATCATGCAATTAAGCACACTTGAAACCTTTTTTCTCAACTAACATCAGTGTGGACAAAGACACAAATGTATTTCTCATCTACCTACTTTGATAACCGTCATTAGCAATGAAAGGGAGTATGTGCAAAAAAGGTCAAGAATGCAAAACTATTTGACTATTTTTTGTATTAGCAGATGTTACTGAGAGATTTACAGTAACATTATTACATTGCTTATTACAATGTTACATCAAACAAAATGTAATTAGCGATTATCTAAGATGTTTGACTCTTAATTTGGCATTATTGCTTCTGATGGTGTTCAGAATTTGCAATAGTGCATTACTTCTAAGGGAAAATTTAAAGTAATAATAAGATTCTTTATTATAAATATACAACATAAACTGTAATAATTATGTGATGGTAAATAATAATAATAAATTAAGCCACACATTATTTTCCAACCCCTCTCTTTATTTTCTTCTTTCCTTCCTCTCCCCTCCACTCCAGTTGCAAATTCCCCATTTCCCTCTGCTATCCTTATTTCCCCACAACCACCACATTTGCATATGTAAACTAGACCAATTCCAGACTAATGCACAGCTCAAACACGGTTTTGTTTCTGCTGCCAAAATAGCCTTTTGATTTTATAATCTAAGAAGCGGGAGCTGAGAAACCACATCTGTTAAATCCCAATCAAGTGTGTGTGCTCATCTTAACATTTATCCTCTTAACTATGGAATTCTTAGCAGCTTTACTTTACAAATATTTTCCTTTGGTTTAAACACTTATCTAACTTGCTCAAAATGTCCCCATGAATCAGCTCCTTTAGATTTCCTGCCCTTCAAGCCCAAACTTTATAAAGATTTCTGCTTTTCTATTGTATAGAACCCTTCTTTCTTGCAAAGCAGGTACCCAATGATCATTGAATAAAGTTTGGTCATTTCTCCTCAGTAGTGAGCTCCTTTCTTTAGATGAAAATTCTATGACAGTTTCAGGTGTCAAAAGTTTTCAAGCTGCAGAAAAAGCCATATAATTTTTTAATAATGAACGGAAAAAGCACAGTATCATCAGCATATATAGGATTCCTAAAAATAGCTATATGGCCAAAACAACCAAGCCAAAAAGCGAATAGCTGCCCCATACTGTTTCAGTATATTATAAAATGCATTTCTATATTATTGAAAAATTGTACACCTGATTCCGCTAAAGAATTTTTAGTTTGGTTATCCATAGATTGGTGTGATTTTTTGGGAATACTTGAAAAACTCTTTTTTCAATGAAAGTAAGAATCTTCAGAGTTTTTATTGGAATACAGATGGAATTGCATTATTTGTTCCACTAATGAACAAAGTGATTATATTTTTAACTAAAAAAATCTGCTTCAGCTAATGAGACAGAATAGTCTAATTTAAAACCTCTTCCAAGAAAGAAATGCCACTTTACTTGCTTTATTATTATTTTTAATATTATTTTCAGCTCCAAAAGATTATCTGTAGATTACTATCTAAAACTTAAAATTAAAGTGTAAAATTAATGTGGTCCAATGGCACATTCCCATTTGAAAATGGAAAACAAAGAGTAAAATCATTTATCTCCAAAATTGATTTGCCAGTCTGAAAGAACAACTATTGTAATAAAAGCAAAACTTGTGTGCTTGTCTTATCATTTTGCAACACAAATGCAAAGCAGAGTATTTGAAGCCATAAATGTGATTTGTACTGAATTGGACCATTATATACATATAATCTTAATTGATGTCTGTTTCAGCAAACTGGTTTTGAGAAAGTATGTCATCCTTCTGTTTTTCATTTGTTGGACCTCAACATGAACTGTGTCAGCTGTTTTAGGGATTTTCATTGGTCATGTTAGAAATTCTCCACAGAGTTACAGGGCTAAGAAATTGCACACAAATACTTTGAAGCTTGAAATCCTCTCCAGGTATTCTTTATTTCTGTTTTCATTGTCCAAGTGAATACTGTAGGCCCGTAGCAAAGGTTAACTGACTTGTATAAACCAAAATATCTGAACACGAAGTTGATAATCTCTGCTCTAATGGAAGACAGTCCATTATTAGCTGACAAAATGAGAAATTTTACAAATTTATGATTGTACAAGTAGGATTTTTATTAAACTTCTTTCACCAATTGTAGTTTTGACTATTCTATATTTTGGCAAATACCAGATTGCAACAAACTCTCAAATATTTTTCAAAGACTCTGATTCTGGTATTCTTTCAGGGATAAGTGACCTATTATATTCAAATGTAATTAAATCAAAAGCACCTTACAGAGACAGATACTACAGAGAAAAAGAAAGACTATATCACCCCCACCTATTTTTTTAACCAGGTTATAAATTTCAAGGGTTTGTAGGATAGTTTTAACATATACAACTGTAAACAAAAAGAAGAAAAATCAGCATGCAGTTAATGTGCCTACAAGATCATATTGCCAAAATTTAGCAGTAAATTATTAATTTGTTTGAGTAATTTTTCTTCCAAAAGGAGAATTCCAAAAGGTCCAAAAGGAGCATTACATCATTAGATCTATAAACTAAATGAAAACCCCACATTTTTGTGGTCATTATATAATTGCCATACTATTTGATTTCAGATACAATGCAGGCATGAAGTTTATATTAAAACGGTAGTGACTGCTTCTTTAAAAATATAAAGGTTATGGTGATCATTGTGTCCAACTAAAGATGAAGATGAAAAGGACAAAAATGATTATTCATAAAATTATTTAGCATTTTTTTGCTCTTTGAGTAAATGGATTAGAAATGTGAAAATATCTAAAGCATTTAGTTCCCAAACTTGAGTGTCTGGAATTTGATGAGCCAGCAAAACAAAAAGAGCACATGAACGATCATCATCATCATCATCATCATCATCATCATCATCATCATCATCATCAACAACAACAACAACAAATATATATTAAAAATCCCACCTTCGTCAGTCTAGCATATGAATGTATACACTTTTTAATCTTCCAGCACAAAAAAGACTGCCTACCTACAATTTTTAATGGCATTGGTATAAGGTCTGGAAAGGTTACCAGCAAATGACTGTCTATGGGAAATACCAGCAATGGCCACATTAGGAGCTTCCCAGGGATTTCCTGCCTTTTCTCTTGTTGACATCCTTGCTTATATCCTGCCCCTCCTCCTCCATAAAAGATGGCTGGTCAGAATGCCAAGTACATATCTCTGCTCCTATTTCTCTCATTACTAGATTTTCTCTGTTGTGGACTATGTTACCACCCATTCTTCCTGTGTTTATCCTTTTATACTTATTCATACATGCCTCTTTCTCTGGATCCTCTACCATATTCTTTGCACTAAGTTTTCACAATAATTACCAGATATCTGTTGAATGCCAAATCTGGTCTCTGCTTCTCCAATTTGCAGTATGTTATCATACAGAAGCAGAAGTAGTAGTAGTAGAAGGAAGAAGTCAATTACTGAAAAAACTTTCATACAAGATACAAACTGGCTTAATAAATAGCCTAAAATAGATATATAAAAATGCTAAATCCAGGCTTTCAGCTTTTCTTAATTAGGTACCCTGTTTTCCCCAAGATAAGACATCACCTGATAATAAGCCCAATCGGGCTTTTGAGCGCATGGCAATAAGGCCAAGTGCTTATTTCAGGGTTCAAAAAAATATAAGACAGGGTCTTATTTTCGGGGAAAAATGGTAGTATAATTAACTTAGAGTAGCTAAACACATTCATATGAGATACAGGTAGCCCTCAATTTAGCATAAGTGAGGCAGTTATTAAGTGAGTTTTGCCCCATTTTATGACCTTTCTTGCCACAGTTGTTAAGGGACTCACTGTTAAATTAGTAACACTGTTGTTAAATGTGACTCCCCCATTGACTTTGATTGTCAGGTTACAAAGGTAACCATGATCCCGAGACACTGCAACTGTCACGAATCACTTGCCAAGCATCTGAATTTTGATTACATGACCATGGGGATGCTGCAATAGTTCTAAGTTTGACAAACGGCCATAAGTCACTTTTTTCAGTGCCGTTGTAACTTTGAATGCTCACTAAATGAACGGTTGTAAGTTGAGGATTACTTGTACTTCGGGTGTCTTAAATATATCTGCAGATGAAAAATGTTTTCTCAACCTCAAATCAAGATACTTTCCAACTCTGTTGATCTGAAGATCTGTCTTTGGGAAAAGCCATACTTTTAAATTAGCATCCACAAATAAATGCATTTGAAAACAGCCACAACTCTCATTTATTCTAATTAGGTCAGTCATTGACCACCTTAAACCACTTGCTTCCTGAGTTAGTGTTAACAGGTCATTATTTTATTATTTTCATTGCAATATTAAGAACTTGTACACTACTCTTTATACTGTTAATCTAACAAAAGTTTCAATGTTGACCAAGTATTAAAGCAGCAAAAATAGATCTTTAACCATACAGAAAACCAAGAGAGCTGTACGTTAGTCTCCCATTGTGTATTTTAAAATGTTCACCTTTGAAATATAATAATTTAAATTACTGATTTATTTACAGAATTTGAATAAGATTGATTTGATTTGACTAATTAAGTTTTCTTCATAATCTGTTTTAAAATCTGAGGTTTTTCCAAATAAAAAAACTAATTGCATGACCATTTTGCTTCTAAATGTGAGTGAAGGTGGTTGGTACACCACCAGAGAAGGCACCCCGTCTCCCCTCCATTTAATTTTTTTATAATTGTAATCATTTTTTATAATTATTAAATGTTTATGTTCTCGTGATGCAAGACAACCTGAACCACATTGTAAGAATCAGTCACCTGTACCACTAGGTGGGCAGCAAATAAATTTAATCAATCCATCAATAAATAATAAAAAGATATGTAAATGGTTTAATTAACTTTTTTTTCAAAGGAATATTTCTCCTGTTTTTGTGAGTGCAATTTAGGAGGTTTAACAAGTTCCTCTCTATAAACTGCCTGCATTCTTCTCCAACA